ACTGCAGGGATACTCTGCAGTTGGTGACTGCAGGGATACTTTGCAGTTGGGCGGTGTGCACTGCAGGGATACTTTGCGGGGCACTGCAGGGATACTTGGTGGCTGGGCACTGCAGGGATACTTGCTGGTTGGGCACTGCAGGGATACTTGGTGGTTGGTCACTATAGTCAGCTTCCGGTCGGGCGAGGACAACATCTACTTTCAAATCTAACAACCCCACTGCGAGGGTGGGGAACAATGATGACAATCAGCCTCAGGTGCAACTAAGCCGCTTCAACCTCCTTTGGTTTGCTGCCTGCCGCGTCTCCGTTAGATTCCGGGACCCCTGTGACCACAGGGCGTCCTGGCGGCAATGCCAAGGCAAAGTACCTGGACCTCAAAAACAAGTAAAACTTTAAACTTAGAGCCACAGAGGCTGTTGTTCTACCTGCTCCATTTTGAGGGTTCAAGTATTCGCTAGAAAAGCACCACCGGGGTTCAACAGCTAGAAGCAATGGCGGCCTATGATGCAATCCCAATAATCAATAGCAATCAGCATACGGGGGTACATAGCAACAAGGGTCATGATTATGGTGGTTATTAAGTTCGTTGTAGGGAAGGCAGCATCCGCACAAACAGCGAGGGGCATGAGTAAGCCATACAAACAAGACCGTCATGACAATGAGCCCTAGCCATCCTCGTCTACATACTTGTAGCATCACAAACTAAACGCTGTACTCGAAACGCTTATAGTCCCCCTTAAGTAGATAGAATACTTGGTAAATGGGGATCTTAACATAATATACCCAAAGCCATGTTCTATCTACTTAAGGGGGACTATAGGCCCTAGCATAACCATTTGCCCTTCAAGCGCACTATCTTACCTCAGACTTAACCGCTGGGCCAAAACCCAAAGAGCACAGCTGGGAAGTTGCCAAGTGTATGATCAGAGTATCACTCAGGGTCTACTCACCCCTAAGGGTACAGGGTTTAGGATCAGAGTATTACTCAGGGGTCTACTTACCCCAATATTCTACCCTATATAACATAGTAGTTTCCATTCTGTTTTCCATTCCCCCTATATAAGCCCCAGGGAATTTGCCAGATAGCAAACACTTCATCTGTACCAGGGCGGTCATTGCTCTACGTGTACCTACCAGAGTTACGGAATTTCACTGCCAGGATTGGAGACACAGGCATAAACAGCTGCCTAAAAATCCCCGCAGGTTCCGCACTTTCTTCCTCCCGCCCCGACTGGCCTGAGGAGGGAGGCCCCAAAATGAGCTCGTTGAGGATGCCCTACCAGCTTTCCGCACTCTGTGTAGCTTTCAAAGACTCATTGGGCATGCTCACTCATCTCACTTGCGCAGCTAGCACAGCAAAGACAATAATTCAAGCTGTGGCTTGCTGCAAAATTAAGATGTCGGAAGGTTCTACGGTTCTACCTCTGCAGGAATTGCCCAAAATATCAACTGGGCCCCTCGAGTTCGGCCAACAGACGGCAGAGAGGGCCAGGTCAGAAGTTTCTGTCTGAGGTTTCAGAAGATTTCAGCTACTGGGCCACTTGCAGGGCATCTAAACTGGGACCGGAGTTGCAAGGCACCCTACACTATACACTATCTATCTCATACAGATTATCATCATCTGTAAACGATCCTTGCCATTTCATCAAAACAGTATTTCTGGCTAGCTACTTGCGTGCGGAGGAGCCTGCGCTTGTGAGGGATCAGCGGAGATGTGTCTGCTTTCATGTGCTGGGGCACGCGCTTTTGGAGAACTTCAGGTTCCGGGACGGCTAGGCAAGACCGTTGCGTTGCTCTGGTCTCCCTCACAGTCCCTAGAGCCAGAAGGCATGACCTGGATCAGAAGAAACAAACCTGGCTAATGCGGATGAGTGCCCTCCTGCAGTCTTTATCCTATATATGCCCGCACGCATCCATCACGCAGAAAGTTCACCCGAAATAAATGTAAATGACAGTGTTGCGAATGCCGTGAAACTATCCCGCACGAACTTAATGGCCGCAGGCGCAGTCACGGATACATATATATATATATATATACACATGTAGGGCGCCTATGTATAGATATAGGCATGTTTCTATGTGTATACATCTATACGAGTGTATGTGTATGTACATATCGCCCATGTGGTTGCGGTACCTCCCTCAATCCCAGTGCTGCTCGAAGCAATCGGGCCTGCATCTCTAGGAGCTTCTGCGAGAGACTTCCCTCCATGTCTTGAATCTGGGTCTTTGTGCTGGTGCCCCAGGCACCTGCCAGAGTGCCTCGGAACGGTAGAACAGTTGTTCTAAGGATTGCAAGACAAATTTGGTTCAATGCCTGGTCTTCTGCTTCCTTGGCTACACCTGCCCCATTAGTGGGTCAAGCGGATGAAAGGAACACACTGGTGCAAGCCTGGAGCAAACTAAGATCATTTGTGCTTTCAGTGTCACGGCACCTGCCTTCCTGCATGGCAGCAGACCGACAAACAGGTAATGAGGATTCAAGTCCCCGGCTGTACAGGTCAGGGTCGCTGGTTTTCACGTTCCTGTCCAAGTGAAGCGAAAGTGTCGAGCGAATGGTGCTTCAAAAGCCGTGATCGTGCAATGGGGCTGGAAACCTGTCATGAATCGCCTCCAGCAGACTCCTGCCGAGGCCCAAACCCTGTTGGCTTCCGAACGACATTCGGGACTGGCGGCATGTGGGCTTGAAGTGGCACCTCGGGGCATTGGCATGCGTCAGAGTGTTTGCATATGTGTGGATGCGGCTCGTCAGACATGAGATGCCTCAAAGCACCCCAAGCACTCGGGATTGTAAGGGGCGGCTCACCAAACCTGCACAAAGCCAGCAACCTCCAAAACCCATTACAGCCAATGCCCCTTGGTAACGCTGTCCGATTAGCGTTCCCTGTGTAGCCCTGCTTGGATAATCAGTTTGAAAAGCCCGAGGCACTGGTGCAATATCTCTCGTCATGTGGTCTACACCCTTGGACGTTGTCTTTGACATCGTCCTTGGTCAGGAGATGTCAGGAGTTTTGCATGTATCAACACATCCAGGCTCAAGAATCTTCAGATACATGCTACCCTCTGCTTTAGAACGATGAAATTGCGAAGCAACAAGACCAGTGCTTGCCGAGGCACGGTGACAGATCTGGCTTAGCCAAGCTGTGCGGGGGTGTATCAACTTGTGGCGGCCCATGCGCTGTCTGAGTCACTATCCGGCCAGATATCACGTCCTTTTCAGGGCACCACAACATAGTTTGTGGACCAAACCGTTTCCCCATCACAGTGTCCGCTTGCCAGGTGCAATGCGGGATGGATGCGACTCAACAGCCTTTAGGTTGAGAGCGCCGCTCACAAGCCTCTAGACGTCTTGTTGCAACGCAAAGTCGAAGCAGAAAGGCCGGACTCCAAACAAATCATCTACGTCTGGGGGCCACATGCCAACATGAAGCTAATCCCTGGTGCCCTGTCTCTCTGCAGAACCTGCTCTCCTTAGTCCCACTAATCATGGTCCTCCATCCTTTCTTCCAAAGTGCTCAGCTGCGTCGCAATGCGGCTGATCTGGTCCTTGACATCCTGGCTCTTTTGATATTCCACATTCAGGCAGCTACTGTTGAGCACACCGGAATAAGGGGACCCAACATGCCCCTGACACAGAATGTCAAAACATTGAACTGGACTGGCCTTGGCAAGGTCTCAAATTTGGATGCCCTGATCCTCCCCCAACATATTATGAAGACCATACTCCCCCCTCTTCGAAGAAGCACATGGCCAGGGACGCAGGTCTCGGCGCTCAGACAGAATAATACAAGATTTAGATAGGCCGAACACCCTGTATAATCACTATATAACCCCTATATAACCCCTATAATCCCTGTAGTTTCCATTTTCTTTTCCATTCTCCCTATAACCCCTACATGCTATAGCAGGTTCCATTTTCTTTTCCATTATCCCTATATAGCTATATATATATATATGTATATATATATGGGGGATTGTCAAAAATGTGGTCCTTTTTTGGGTCCCTATTATAATACGGGGCCTAATACGGGGCCTAAATCAGTGGACCCAAAAAGGGACCACAATTTTGACAATCCCCCATATATATGCACCCTATAATTCCCTATATTACCCTATATAATCCCGCTAATCCCTATGGTTCCCTATAGAATCCTAATATATACCCAATTCTAATATGAAATGGATAAGTATAGGGGTGCCGCTAGCCTTGCCCGATCTCTCGATGACCTTCCGCATGTTGATGAGATCCTGACAGAGGCTGCACCTGGACCCCAAAAGTAGGTAAAATCATCGGCCAGAACGCCTAAAAACAGCCTAAAAGGCTATTATTCTATATACTGTTGGGGTCCAGGTACTTGTTTGGGCTGGAAAGCTGGATCTTGTTGAAGTTCGTTGGGGTCCTGTCGCGGGACCTCTTCTCCAAACTAGACAGAGTTCTGACAATTGCTCTTTAATGGGCAGCTTCCAGCATCCCTGATCCGGGCCTTTACTGTGCAGGTGTTGGTACCCCGCAGCTGCAAGATCTCATTCATGAAGTGGGAGAACCTGAAGCGACACTTGGTTCTTGAAAAGGAAAAGTGCCAGGCATGGCGGGATGCAGTTCCAGCTGACGAGTGGCAGGACGGTCTCTTGCGTTCCTTCCTCGCCGTGCTCCTGCACATCTAGCAGCTTGGTCCTAGCCCTTTTGAGCGTCTCACTTGCACACTGCAGCATTCACGAAGCGAGCGTCCTTTGCAAAAATTTGGTCTGCATAGTCAATCAGACCCACAGGATCCACGCCAACCTGAGCAAACCAAGGACCAAGCAACAAGGCGACAACCAAGCATTGAGTCACAGAGCTTGCTGGGCCACTCGGGACCTTCTGGACCTAAACTCTTAGCAACAAAAATTAAAAAGTTCAGTCACTGTTCCCAAATGAAACCTGCTTGTGCGCTCCGAGAACTTTTTTCGTAGGCTGCTGATCAGTATAGGTTTGCAAAACACCAAATTATAATACCTTGCAAAGCATCACGGCATTGCCTGCCTTAGTGCCCGAGAACGCAAGCTGCCCTATTCCAGTTCAATCCGCACAGAACCTTCATGCAGCCCCTAACATCCAATCATCTGACAGACGAAAGCAGAATCTTTCGCACAATTTCTAATAACTGTATTCAGGATCCTGTACGACTAACCCCAAATCTACTACAAAACTCCACACTCCTTCAAAGGAACCGTCTCCAATGCTTTCAGACCGCCCGGGCTTTCCAGGATCCTCGCACCAAAGTGGCTTTAGCCAGCTGAGTGTAGGGCCTATACGCGGGTCTCCCAAAATTAGGGGTACCATCTTGGGGCCCCAGATTAATGACTAGAGGATTTGGGAGTCTATACTAGGCCCTCCTATTTTGGGAAACTACCATATGGGGCTGTGGACTTAGGACGGTTTACAGAAACCAAGCCCATCACTTTGACACGAATCCTGCTACTAGCAGCCTAGCATTGCCGGATCTTGAACCTACCATGCCTAGCATATTCTTCTCCAAGCTTTGCAGGACTATCGGGGCATGCTTTCCTGCGTATGCCAGATCGGTAGGTCTGTCAAGGTTTGTGTCACTAAATCACTAAACTTTAGAATGGATCTTTGCGTTACCTGTTCTTGCTAGCCGGCATGTTAACAGAGCCCATTTTGGAAAACGATCACATCATACAGAAGCCCACGGGGTGTTGCTGTTGAGAGATGTGACATTTTGTGTCTACTGGAGGCTTTAACTTGTCAGTTTTAGTTCGGACTACACGAAAGAACGCTGGTTAGAACACGTAATCCCCAATAAAAAGGTTTCTTAGTTTGTAGCGTGCTTGGCATTCTCTGCCAGTAGAAGTGAGCCCACCGTGCCTGAGGAACTCTGCGTGTGACATCAGCCCATCGCCATCCTAATCGCAGACTGGGTTGCTGCTAAGGAACCTTTTTTTGTTACTATATTGGGGAAACCAAAACTAATTACTATATACATATATATGTAAACCCCTTCCGGTAACTTATTTCAAGCTCCTCAACAGCAACCCAGGAGAGGTCAGGTATTGAAACAGGGACGCTCTTGATCGAACGGAAGGTGCCACTTGGGTGCCTCTGTTCTTTAGATAGGAACCTTGTTTGACACTTCAACATGCGCCTTGCGTGGCACTGCGAATGAGAGCTTCTCTGTCCAAATCCGGGGCTCTCTCTTTCTGGGATATCTCGAATAGGGAACCCCCAAAAAGTCCATCATTGTGAGAGACAGCCATCTGCGCACGCAAAGACAAGTGGCTTCATCGGCTTCAATGATGATGTCCTTGCTGTCAGGTAATCTAGAAGTGTCTGAGAGGTCAAGGCTACACAATCGGATGCAGAAGGACAAGATACATAGCTGTAGATACGCGCCCTTTCTGGACTCCTACTCATATGAAGATGAACTTTTGAAATTCTGCTGCTCTTTCCATCATCCTCCTACGACTACTCCTACTCTTACTTCTACTGTGCCGATGTACTCCTCTTCACTTTTGCTGCTGATACTACCTATCCTGCATACACAGTAGACAAATGTAGGCAAGCAAGCATCCAACAGCTCTTGTTTGACCAGATCCACTAGGAGTTCTTCGCGCTCGCTCTGGCCCACCATGGACACCACCTCACAGAGAACTCCTTGGCTGCTCTGAATCACACTTCAAAAGCACGGCACTTGTGATTTTGGTCCGGAAGTAATACTACAAGCAAGATGGTATTCAAGATCGCGTTGGGCGAGTCTTACCCGTCAGTTCTACGTAGACTACCCAGCTGTGCAGTGATGGGCTACCAAGATTCCGATGAGCATGTTCATGAGCGTGATGGATGCCTGGGCTATAGGAGCATGATTTGAAGCCAACAGCAGCCACTTTGCTTGCGCGTGCCTTCAAGGCAGTAGGTGTTTGGTTCCAGCATCTTGCGAACTGCTTGTGCAAGGAAGACTGGCAAAAGTAAGGCTCGGGCGATAAGCACGAAAAGAATGAACCTGGGACATTGTGAACGTCTGGGCTTGCAAGCCAATTGCAGTAGGTTTGGTAGAATCTAAGTAGTGAATCAATCCATTAAGCCGTTTATGGCGTGTGCCTACCAGCAGGTAACTCTGGAAGTTGTGGTAGCATGAAGTGCAGGCCCTCCAATCTTGCAGCCTCAGACTTCAACTCCCGCACATTGCAGTGACAAAGCCATATGTTCAAGAAAGCCATCCAAATTATGACAATGGCGTCCAACCTTCCTACCCCATTTACTCAGGTAGCAAGGCTTACAAGGCCTGCTGACGATGTTTAACAGCTCGCTCCCAAGAGCCCTGACCAATCCAAACACCTGGGGCACCGGGCATGGCGAAAGCAAGTGCGTTCTGTCGTAGCGGAGTGAGCCTCAGCTGGGGCTTGTCCTCACTGAATACCAGGGAGCTTGGCTTCACGAAAGAGGGTATCGGTATGAAGCAAGTACTGAGATCTGGGCAGATCGACCATGTCGTCCATGAACCTTAGCTTGGGTGGACATTGCAGTACTTCTCAGTGGATTCTTTTGCATGAACGTCTTTGGCAGAGCATCGCTGAAAGGTCTTGTCCGTTTCCGAGGGACACCCCATGGAACAGCAGTGTCAGCATAGACTCGGGGACGGTTTGGAACTTCGCTCGCAGGTCGCTTGGCGTATCTGGCCCTGAACAGCGGGGGATGTGACAGGAAAAGCAGTGAGCATACTGACGCCCTCTTGCCCAGCTTGTGATAGCCATGGCCGGCACCAAGCCTACGACTTCCCTGTGCCATGCTGGCTACGAGACTCCTAGAGTGCCTGCCTGCGCAAACCTGGGTGAAAGCTATGCCGAAGATGTACAATACCTGATCGCTGAGAAGGAAGTGGGGCCTCTGAAGGTTTCTGAATTTTTGCTGCAGAAGTTCAGTTTCTTCGGGTACGGGGGTTGCTTGTAATATGCAGCATGCGGTCAACCCTTGGGAAACATCCGCCAGAAGTTCGCATCATCAGTCAGGAGCACGCCCGGGTTGGAAATCTGGGTGAAAGAGCTGCTAAGGCTTCCACCAAGACCAGGAGGAAGATGGTGAAGAAGACGGACCGGGCGGCCGCGCTGATACCTCCAGGACTGAGAGGCCTTGTAGTCCCCAGCAACGGGGAAGCTGGTTGCTGACGTCTCCGAAGTGTTGGAAATTACCGTCAGGAGTTGTGCTTTTGGTATTGCTACTGGGCAATAAAGATATGAAGAAAGAAGGCCCATCATGACATGCGAATTCGAATCCATACAGGATTGTTACGGCCAACAATATCCCAGGGCTTGATCTAGCAGGACCTTGGAGCCTGCCTTCTCATCTACTTTTCAAAGCAGCAGGCCTATGTCTTGAGCCAGGTCAGAACTAAAACCTCGTAAGTGCCTCAAACAGAAAAGCCTAAATAGTAGTTTCCATTTTCTTTTCCATTATCCCACTAGAACCCCTATATATCCCCAATACGCCCTAAAATCCCTGTAACCCTAAACATGCAGAAGTCCTGCACTCCGGGGATCTCCGGGGTGTATGTACCAGGATACCCATTGGGGTAATCTTGGGGTTATTTTGGGATAATGGAAAAGAAAATGGAAACTACTATGGTACGTTGGGGTTATATCGGGATAATGGAACAGAAAACGGAAACTACCATATTACAATATAGGTCCCGTTCATTCACATTTCCACCAGTACAGTACTACCAGCCAGCAGGCCTTTGATCATGATCAGCACTTCCGGAAAAGCACGCAGGAGCTTAGCCTGGGATGCAGAAAAAAGGCATTGATAGATTCACTCCTATATTGTACTACGGTGGATACTAAAAATCCATTCTATATTTGGAATAATGGGACTATTGTATATTAAGGTCATGCAGGATTTTTAGTATCAACAGTATTAGTAGTTTCCATTTGCTTTTCCATTATCCCAATATAGCCCCAATATACCATAGTAGTTTCCATGTTCTTTTCCTGCTGACCTGCAGCAAGTTCATGTCAATAAACTTGTTGAGGGTAGGGTACTGTCATTGCAAATTCGGAAAGTGCCCTCCCAGGGTTCCTTTGATTGTGATTGTGGAAGGCTTGGAGGCTCTAGGAATCTCTTTTTGAAATAGCTCCTGAAACATGAAACACTTGCCCATTTGAGGGGGATCCAAAAACTACCCCAAAATCAGATGATTCCCAAAACCTGCCCCAAACCAAACTAAAATGTACCCGAAACCTGCCTGAGACCTCAACAAAAACCTACGAGCTTCTGTGAGGTTTTGTTCCGGGTTCTCCAAGAGAATGGATTGCTACCACAACATGTGGGAATTGTTCAGGCTCGTGTTAGTTTTCCAGGTCTGGTTTGGACAAGAGTTTATCCCAGGTAAGGGATTGCGAGGACTTCGTCTAGGTTTTTCATGTCTGGTTGGATGAGTTTTTTGGCAAGGTAGGACATTCTCAGGATGGATGACAGGAATTGTTTTTGCATGCGCAGAATCTCCGAGGGCCCGCTTGCCACGGTTGCTAAGAGCTCAGAAATCAGTGTGAACTAAGCTTCATGACCCTAGAAAGGAGTTCCAGCCGTCTTTTTGGAAGCATTCTGCAAAGCGGTTCGTCTTGAGATCCCTTTCAATGGAGGGAATTTTTAACAGGCGGAGAGTTGACACTCAACAGGATACAACATCAGGCCCAGCTCTTGGGTAGCAAAATCCGTTTGATTTAAAAGGAAATGTTCTGAGACAGCAATGTGGCACAGCACCAGCACCAGACAACTTGCAACAATGGCAAAACTCCTCACAGGTCCTCTGCAGGACCAGCAATTCTTACTCTTACTCGATTCTCTCCTACTCTTGCTGTGGCTTCATGTCCTTTATAGATTCGGACAGATTGTTTGTTTTTCTGGGGACTCCAGTTGTCCATTCGCGCGTTTTGCAGGGGACTTTTGTACGCTTCTTCTGTCCGCGTTGGGTTATCCAAGGGGCCACCCGCGTCATCCGCGCCAGCCGAAGCAGCCGCACCAAACGGAGGATGGATGCATCCCCAATGCCCTCACCTTCAGTCAGGATGGCTTGCTGAACCCTGAAACCACCGCGACAGTCGATGCTCTGCGAGTGCAGGAGCCCTACACGTGAGTTAGCTTATGACACCCTCTTTTGCTGACATTAATTGCAAGAAGGAGGGCCTTCCAGTAAGCGCTTTGAGGGCCAAGAAACCACCGAGTTTGTTCGGGAGCAGTTCTGAGGCCCAGACCTGACATGCTTAGCATGCTGAGGATGGCTGGCCTCAATGCAGCAACACGGAGAATACCCTCATAGATTGCGAAGGAAAGATTTGTTGGATAAACTCCCAAGTCTGCAATCAGAGCCATGGACGTGATCCAGGTCTCCAGAATCATCAGCGAGACAAGCAGCGTGTCAAAGACAAACCTAAGTCATCAGGTCTTCCGGCGCGTCTCATGACATTGCTTGCAGCCGTGCTTGGGGCAAGTACACGTGGCTGACGAACATGCCCCCCAACATTAGCTGGGGACCCTGCCAGGCATCCCTGATTGCATACCTCGTCTTGCGGAAAGCCATCCTTAAATCGGCAGGTGCTGTGTCAAGGGCTTGGAGGCTGTGCAGGGTCCGGTTCACAAACTCCATGGATGCCGGCGTTGCTATATATATGCGCGCCATCACATGTGCGAATCTGATGCTCACGCATTCGCTACACAGTGTAGCGCAGCGCTGACAGGGGCCAAGTCACCATCGAACAAGCCACTCGAAGGTGAAGAATGCGCAGAACAGATTTTCAGCCTTGGGAGCAATTGGCCACTTCACAAACCCTAACATCTAGACCAAGTTGAAGCAGACTCAATTATTATATATTTCTGTACCATTGCGGAGAGATGGGAGGAATGTAACAATGCAGCCCGCTCTGAAGCTGAAGCGTTATCAAACCATTTGAGTGACCATGCCCCAGTGCAGGAAGGATGCGATCTGGAATTCTATTGCAGCTTCAGTGATGATGGTCCTCAGCCGCCGTGCACCCATGTGTAACCACATCGGCTCAAGGGCTAGGCTTCTGTTGACGTCTATTGGCGTTCCTTGGCAGAAGTGTATGGGGCACTGAGCTCGGTGCTTATCGTTGTTGTCCGTGTCGATGGCAATCCTGAACAGGCGGACGAACGCGTCTATCGTAAATGTTGCTGAATAACATCTACAGTAACAAGCTCGCCGGCTGCTAGGTCATCTTGCGCAAGAGTCACACTTTCCTACTTTCAGAACCTTGGGGCCCCCAGCTGCCCAAATAGTAGGCCAGCAGGCTATGCAACTATAGGGTATAAAGAACCTGAACCAGAATTTAGGTAACTGTATCCTTAGGGAAAGCCATGAACACAGCAGCCCTTCGAAGAACCAATCTCTCAGGCAAGCGTCCATATGGAGTTTACCTTGCAGCGCTGGGTCCGGCTCAATTGGGAATATCATGTATCACTGTTACTCTTACTATTACTATTACTATTTTCTGTTACGGTTATTACGATTACTATTAGTATTATTACCATTATCAGTAGTATGTTTATTAATGCTACCTATTGTGTGCTGGGTAAGGTGGAGGGCTGCGAATCCTAAAAGGCGTATTCTACAGACACGCGGCTACAAGGCACTGGAACAGGCCGGGGCGGCTATCGTGACTCGGAACTGTAGAGAACGGAAAAACTCAGGGGGAACCCGCTCACATGAGGCAAGATGGCAGGGTAAACTTTGTAGATCTTTCCTCCCATGTTACTTTTTACGAAAGCTGCTACTGTAAATATGCTAAGGCTAATGTTGACCTCATATTGATAAACCCCTGCGCAACTGCAAAATCCAAATCCCAAAACGTCATTACAAGCCACTCCGGAATTGCAAACTCCAAACACAAAATTTGGTGCTTGTACTGCTGGCTAGTACTACCATTGGTCTACGACGACTGGAGCTCGAGCTCATGGACCTGGATACCCNNTGGGGGGGGGGGGTTCTTATTATGAAGTGAACATAGGAGGACCAATCCTCAAACAAGTTCAATTCCAAGCATTTGCCGGTCTGCCAGGTCCTCACATCCACAAAAATCCAGAAAAGAAGTTGGCACAACCCGGGGCGCTCCTCTCTATGCCCTGAAATCTGGGCCTTTCACTCTGCTGCGTACAATCTCTTGGCAGTCTGCTTTGAACATCCGATGTAGTTACTTTTCTCATATGGAACCCGGTGTCTTGGGCTGCTTCGGGGGCACAGCGATGATGAAGAGCGTAAAGTTTTCGAAGTAGTTGCTCCTCGCAATCCTCTGAAAGATCCCCTGGGACTTGTAGTAGTCCTGCCGGGCGCGGACTCGGAAAGTAGGTTACTGCCTGAGCCTGCTGCGCCCCAATACTGCCTTCAAATATCGCTGTTGCAGTAAAGACAGAAACCCTATACATCCCCAATATACTATAGTAGTTTCCATTTTCTTTTCCATTCTCCCCAATACCTCCCAAACCCTGAACCCTATCCAACTGGACTCTGTTCAGGAGGAGGTGGGCTTCGAGCAACTGATGATGCACCCTCGGTCACCTTGACCGAGTACGTCTGCTTTGACAGTTTCTGCCGCACGCTCTGCTTCAGGTCTTCCACGTCAGTGGCAATCGTAACCTCAACATGCTTCAATCTACAGTTGAAGATATTTGCTATTGTTACTATTCTTACTCTTATTACTCTGAACGACTTGCCTATGATTGCAATTATTGTCATTATACGATTATCACCATTATACTACTATATTGTTACTACCATCGTCTTGGAATTGGAACCTGGCAAAACTGAGGCTGCGACCCGAAGGGAGCTTAAAACTACGGTGTTCCGTACATCGGGGCCAGATAGGGAATGAATTAATTAAAAGCATCCTGCTATGAGGATAGACTTCCCGGAGGTAAGTAAGAAATATGCTATACAGGGATTAGGGTTTAGGATTTAGGGTTGGGACTTGTAGGGAGTAAGGGAATACACTATATAGGAATTGTATTCCCTGGTTCCCTACTAGCCACCAGTAAGTACAAGGGGCCTCTGGGTTCTTTACTTTTTCTGCAATATGCGACCCTGCAAGGGCAATTCAACTCACGAACTGGCTTACTGACGTGAGCTGCTGCAAAACCCACCCTGATATTCCATCAACTGCCCATTCCCAGAAGATTCAGATGAACACCCAGAATCAAGAAGCCTGCCGCACCCAAACTCAATCATCAAGCAACTTAATATAACATCGATAAACGTATCAAGTATCCCAGTGTTCATTCCCTTTTCCTTTCTCACTTGGTCCTCCATGGTATGAGTAGCATGCGCAGATATCAATACCTAGCTGCCAGCTGCTGCAAAGTGGCGGCTTGGGGCAGCTCTCCTGCAGAGTAGATTCGCTGTATTTGATGGTTAGATTGGTTCTTAGATTCTTGTGGCGTGGGGCAGACTTGAGTTGACATCTCTGTGACCAAAAGAATGAAAGCGTGTAAAGTCTGCAATTGAAGTGTTTCCAGCTGAAGTTGCAAAATCTGGAATCGGATTTTGTCGAGGGAGATGCCATATGGGTGTGGCCGAAACCCCCCCTTGCCGCGGGGCTTCCCGCGACCCCCCGTCTTACAGACGTCTGTTGCGGCCCCGTGTTACAAAGCCCTTTGTCGCCGGACTCGACTGTAGTCGCGGGGTTTGCCGCATGACCGGCCTTTCTGTTACAAACCTTTTGTCGCGGGAGGGCCGCACAAGGCCTGGTACAAACCCGATGTGTTTGGGCCGCACCCATGTCCGCACCTTAGAGCGTGATGAAATCTGATGTGTGAGGTCCAGAAGCATCGTGAGCACTTAGCAACAATAAGACTAAGAGGTATGACCCACGAAACAACCACAATAAGTGCTATCGTTCTGTCGACGTGGCTCATATCGCACGCTGCCCGTCTGTCCTTCACCAGGTTCAAAGCAGAAGCAACAGCAGCGCCGAAGGCATTCTGCAGCCTCTTCTGAGACAGAAAGCCAGTTAAAACCGCATTCTTTCACAGTCTGAGTCTAAGGTCTCAAAATGACTATCGTGCCCTGAAGGTTTCTAGTCTCGGCTGTGGCTATTGAAGACATATTGCCTCTGGAGGGGAAAGCAGGAATGCTAAGCACGTAGAGATCCGAGTTTCCGGCTGCCCCGCGCACGCCTAGCGACTTCTTTGTTGACCTGCAGACACTTGCCATCCAGCATGGACAACGAAGCCCTCCAAACCGCACAACTCCCCACACAGACGTTCCGATCAGCGAAAGGCACATCAGACCGACAAAATTTGGCTTGCAAGATGATACCTAAATCTGCGATCCACTGGCAGCCTCAAGATAACGTACCCACCTGACGCCGCATTTCCAGATTGAAGACCTGCTACCGTCTAGTACAACGACATCTGCAACAACCCTGATGATGAGGACCAGGAGGACGAGGAGCGGAGGACGACGAAAACGACTGCGTCCAAGACTTCCACCAATACTCACATTCCTTCTGAAAATTGATGATGATGATGATGATAAGATATGATAAGGATGAGAAATCGCCAAGTGGCTGTTGGGACATTCTTCTTTCGTCTTTCTTTCGGTTGTACTCCCGGATGGAGGCACCTGAGACGAGGATGCAGCGTACTGCCTGATACAGCAATCTTGTTCATGTTCTTGATAATCCGTGTTGACATTGGGGGCCCTTCGGGACAACTGCCATCCACAAGCTCTCGCATAATGCTGCCGAATGCTGCCGAGAATCCCCATGCCAGTGCCCGGGTGCTCTGCCGCTCCAAGACTCTCTTCGCACCGCTCCTCAATCAAGTCAGGAAAGCCGACGTCCCTATCAGGATGAACATTCCCCCTTAACGAATGCCTTGGCTCTTTTCAGAGCTACATGTAGGAACTCATCCAAAGCACCGTTGGAGCAATTGCCCTAACGACTTTTTTCACTAGACTCACTAGACCATTGGACTCAAAGCTGTGCATCGCTTTCTTCGTGTCAGCCTGTTTAGTAAGGCACTGATTCAGTGAAGGCGCCATGTTGTGGAAGATTGCGACTGCGGCGACGATGGCTCCATTCCAGACATGCTTTGGCACAGGGAAATAAAGGAACCAAAAGGCCGGAAAAAGTAAGTAGACTCCACCCAATGTTTGACGTGATATGTAGAGTCTTGGTTTGACATCCCCAAATCCATGAACATGATCTTCCATGAGACCTACACTTTTGAATGTTGCTTGCAGTGTACGTCTTTTAGCTGAAGGATGCTAAAGCCCAACCATCTTGCGCGGGCCATGTCTGTACTCCTGCTCAGAGCCGCTGCTGATGCATGCACCGCACTTCTCAAAAATCCCAACACACCTGGTTCAAGTCTGCTTTGACGACTGCCTGCCAACATAAATCGCCTTGCTCGGAGACCGCCAAATCAAGGAGATGAAGCTGGAAGAAGCTTTCAGGATCAGATCACAAAGTATTGTAGGAGAACCAGTCATGTTGCCGGACGATTATGCTAGTGTATTGTCGTGGCACCTTATCTAGGAACATCTGCTTCAGGAATCTCTTCTGACGTGTACCTCTTTGGACCACAACGCTACCGGGTACAGCACCGATCTCGGAGCGCATAATATCATAAACACTTCGAGCTGGTCTTGAGGTAGATCTTCGTTCTAACGGTGTTGCAAATCTGTATTGGTCCCCCCCCACCTCATACTCCTGAGGCCGGCCCGCGAAAGTTTGACTTGCCATATTGCGCGTTCAACATCTGTTGTGCTCGGTACACCCCGATCCCCTATGTAAAGGGAGAGGGGAAGCGATTGAGGGACAATAGATGATGTTGCGGCCACACACTTCCAAACTAAGCCTGCGTGTTATTTACGTTGGCATCCAATGTTACTCGATGTGAGCAGCCATCGCAGAGGATCAAGAATCGGAAGGTGCAATTCAGCAGGGCTTTGGGAACCTCCGGGCAGCAAACGTCCTGCCTTCTGCTCTCGAATCTCCAGCCCTTTGCCCTTGGCGCGACCTGAGGGCATATTTCCTGAGGTATATACATGCGAGTGTCATCCTCAACTCTGCCATCCCAACTCTGCGCTGTCTCTGAATTCTGCCATAACCTCTGCAAACCCTGCAGGCCTCCACCTGACAGACTGAAAAAATAAAACGTGTCAAAGATCCAGAATCTCACAAAATGCGTAGCAAAAGGACAATTTCCCGACACTTCCAGGAATGTGACCTTGTCACTCAACTGGGGCTGTTGCTCCTAGGCGTCAACAAGTCGTAGATCACCTGCCGCGTAAAGTAGCATAGTATCACATCTTTTTGTTCCTATTGGAGCCTGACCTGAGCCTGTCACAGAAAGCACATGGCTGCATAGGTCGGAAATTGTTTCTGCACGCAGGAGATGCCTCGTTGTAAATCTCCAGGAAGCTGCACTGAACCAAGAAGCGATTGGTCTTGCTCTGGTGGCTGGCCTGCCCAAGACCGAAGGATGTCACACGGCACCCGCAGCACTAACAGAATTTCTCGTCAATCCGCAATGCCCTTCACCTGGTGTAAGATGAAAGTCCACTGCTCCATTCAGTTCTCCAATCTTGAAACTGTTTGAGGTCGCGGCCACTCGCTCAAACAAGCTGGTGCTCATTCTTGGGATTAGCCCGGAGTCCTGAAAAGCCAGGCAGCCAGCAGCGCATGGACATCAATACCGCGGAGTGGGCTGAGATAGCAGTTATCCTATGATCATTGGAATCACTACTTGCTGACTTGTGATCGCTGCTGCTGATGGTGAACTACAAGCAGGTTGGGCAAGTTGGGCTCATTCTCACAGCGCTTGCCCTGACTGTGACTGTCCTTGTCACTTCCGTCCACATTCCTCAGTGGAGGGAGGCGCGCAATGCATAAACTCGACACATTTCTGGATGAAGGCTCCCATACTTGGTACGTTCCCGACGGCCACGTATACGTGCTTAGCATGAAAATACAATAATCATACCATTGCAGCTTACTCGGGCAAACTGGCACCAGCAGTCCCTCAACCCTTGACCGCACGCCCACATTCCTGATGATGTGCAGAGGTTGTTGGAGCACATGCTATAACAGCAACATGGGGGCGCGTAATCACTATTCCTGTAGTGAATGCCACTGCAAATGGGTCGCAGCATCGTGTAGGTCTTTCCGCTCCCTGTCTGGCCTTGCGGTGCCACGAGCAAGTCTCTAATGTGTACATCCGAGCTGGTTGGGCGTCCATGAGGGGTGCCAGCAATGCACTTCATGGCTGCTGGCGGCTGCTGCTACAAAATTGTGTTTGATGGTCTAGTTTGAGGACTTCATGCTGCAGTACCAGAGACCTGCGCCTGATCCCACGTCACTGAGGCCCAAGACAACATCCGACATGTTAATCGCTGCGCTTCAAATGATGAGGCCACCGCCGTATGCGAAAATCGTGCTGTTGTACCCCTCAAAAGCCTTCCAGTCGCTGGCGGCTCTTTCGACAACTCACAACTTTCCTAGTCACTAGCTGTTGATTTAGAACCTTCCAGGTCGAGCCGTCGAGCTTGATCAGAGGTCTTCACATGTCTTGGCCATTAGGTACGAGTCAGTGTGAGATATCTTGCTAAGTATTTTGAAATGCTTGCATGCCCTAGTCAAACCTCCTCCTTCAAGACCACTGTCAGGGCTGCTAAACACAGTCTTGAGCCTGTCACACAAGCAGCACGGCCTGTAATGACTCACAGCTGCCAGGCAGAAAGCTGACAACTCAGCTCGACGTTAAACACTCCTGCAGGTCCCAAGGGCCTTGGCAAGCTGCGGCTGCCCCAAGGTCTGGAAAACCGCAGCCTCGGCATTGGTTGCTTCCTTTCTTGAACCTGAAGTACAGGCACACGCCGGGTATCTGGTCCCAGCAGAACTACCAGAGATATCTACAACACCGTTCGCATGGCTAATAACAGGCTGAGCCAACCTGTGCGAAGGGGCAGGAATGATCTGTATGATCTGCGGATCTGCGGCTTGGTCTGCATCTTCGCCGAAGACGTGGTCGAAGTAGAAGCGGTGATCCTGAAAAATACGGGCGCCGGGCTTCCGGGCTTCCCGCTTCTACCGGGAGTGTCAGGATATACTGTCGCAGTCTTTCAACCCTGTTTCACAGCCTCTCAGACATCTCAGACTCTCAAAGTGTCTAAGCTGCCAAGCCTGGCCCTTGTATGGAGCCACCTCAGTTTTGGGCGCATATATTGGCTTTAGGATTTAGGGCTTAGGGTTATATTTGGGATAATACTGGGATTATATAGGGATGATGGAAACTAAAATGGGAACTACATGATGCGCACATGATCCCAACAGCGGACCTCCCCACAGAACTCTGATTCGCATGCTGAGCTCTAGCCTCAGTATTTAGGGGGTTCCCAAAATTAGGGGTACCGTTATGGTTGTCCCTATAATCAGGATGAAAGTATTTTGGGATTTATATTGAAGTCCCCCTATTTTGGGAAACTACCACTTATTGTCCTCAGTCCCAGGCAAGGCTGTTGGAGGTAACGCGCACGTCAGAGCGGCCTGATGGCCTGCAAAGGCTGGACCCACGGAGCATAAATAGCAATTGTTAATGGTAATAGTAATAGCACTAGTGAGGGTAAGAGTAATTAAGGCTAATAGTAATGGTAGTAACTCATGGACAAGAGGAACTTCAATTTTGCCGGGCAGACGCTTCGCTGTCATTGAGCGGCCGCAGGCGGATGGCAACAACCACATGGGGTGCTTCTGCAGATTCGGCCTCACAAAGCAGCAAGAAAGCTGCGCACATGTCCTCCCATACTTGTGGCGATGTGACACGTACATTGGCCAGTGCAAAGCTCCTCATTCTAGGATAGATCTTTCCAGTCACGCACAAGCAAGGTCGGTTCGCATGCAGTTCCGCGTGGTCTGTCTAGAAGTGCACAGACAAAAAAGAAGCCACTACTACATAACGTGAGATTCCTGTCGCAGGGCTGCATGCCGTCTACCGTCGGCCGGCTCACTCTCCAAAACGCTACTTACTGGTTTCAAACCGCCTTGTGCGATGGGGCAGCGTCAGCCTGAAGTAAACAACAAAGGAATCTACAACGAAGAAGGGAGCTTCACAAGCGAGCAGCAACCTGATGCTTCCTGAAACCTCGACACGTCTCTACCATGAAGACGCATCTGGCAGAGGCTTGGTGATCCCAAGCTCAAGACGGCCGCGGAGGCATTCCTTGGCTTAAATTGGAAGCGGAACGCGCTGCATGCAAGTTTGTGCCCAAACAAAGCCCTTTAATGCAAGTATCATGGCATTTACGAACCAGCTTGCAATTCAGAATGGCTTCACGAAGTAGCTGCAACACAGCGGCAAGGTGTCCATGGTCAACTGCCATATCTGGCAACCTGGGCACTACTTGCTCCGCTTGGACGGATTGCGGGTTGCATCACGGCTATTCAGGACATGCAGCTGAATCCAGGAAGACTGTTCGATGCCCTAGCGTTCCTAGCACACTCTTAGGGCTCTGCACTTTAAGCCATGCAATAATCTCTTCACTTGGGCCACTGCCCGGCTCTCCCCATGGCAGGCCCTCTCCGGGCCCACCCGTAGGTGATGGGATGTGATCTCTGAAAGTTTGTTAGTTTGAAGGCGTGCAGCCGTAGAGGCTGTCGACAAGTTGGGTTCACCTACATCTTCTAAGCGTTGATGACAACTGCTGAACATGGCAACCACGGCGGCAACTTGCAAGTTTTTCTCATGCATGTACTCGACTTCCTTGCACACAAGCGAGGTGCAGGAGTGTGTCTTGCACAAATTCATGAACCGAACGCACCATGTATCTCCCTCTGATCCAGCGTAGCAGCGCATTTCAGTTCTGACATGTCTGGCCCTATCCAGCTAGCCTCGTGCGCTACACGTTGTGTACATAGTGGGTGCGGATTGCAGCTGCTTGTGGTGAACGCATCTAGCTGCCGCCCATTTCTTAGCCGGCAGCCGTATCTACAGCAAGCAGTTTACTAACTCTTCCATGCTGACAAACTGGGATAGAAACTATCACGCAACTCTCTTCGAAACCTGCCCCGTATGAGCGTTCATGACTTGCGTGAGTGGATTTTTTCCCTGACAGCATGCCCAGTCACATGAAATCCTGAAACCCCCGCGCCACAGCAGCATCTCGAGCGCGTTTTTGACTGCAAGCAATGCCCCAGAGGTGCAAAGATTCATGGGGAACACAGGTTCCTCCCGCTTGACAGCAACCTGCATCTGCACGGGAGCCCCGCACGGCCAGATAATGCCGCATATGTACACGTCTAATCTGCGCCTCCAGGAGCCCTGCGCTTTCCTCACTTTGTGGCATAAACCCCTGTGACCAGAACAAGGCCAGATAGAGCACCAGACATGACACCCGCCAGCACGTTGCCCTCAGGGGTTGTGGAGTTTTCTTTGGTTCGGCGTCCGTGATACTGATTCGATGGATGCAACAAAGACAGAGAAAAGACTGAATTCCTGCCTTGCCGAGTCGAACAGGCATGACCCCTCGGCCCGAAGAACTTGAAGAAGAGGCACCATTAAGGGTTGGAGATTCCAATGACTTCCACAGCATGTATATTCCAATACTATAATGCGACCGGTATGACATCAACATGGGTCGGCGTGGAACATATGTCTGTGCGGTGCGCACATGTGCATACACAGGTTCATACATGTCTAAGCACATCCCTGAGGAGCTCATGAGTAGGGGCACTTGCATTTTGTGGATTTGAGCGCCTGCAGTCTGGACATTCGCTCGTTGGCATAGGACAAGCTGCCGTAGCCTAAGGCACTCTGCATGGCTGGCTTTTAGAAAAATCTGCCTACCCTTGAAATACATTCGTAGTCCAAGTATTGAGATTCCTTTCAACCGAACGGCACATGGATGATCGTTCAACTTTGGATCAGCACAAGGGAAACAAATCTTCAAGGACACTGACCGTATCCACGAGGACCACAGGGCACTGCCTGCGCGGCCTTTCATAGGTATTTAGGGTGTTGTGGTACGCCTCACTTGCTATCCACTCCTCAAGATAGAGCCTAGATAGACTAACTAGGGCCTACTCAAGGAAGGGGGTAATAGTGGTGGATGACGAGATATTGATGAAAGCTATCATTAACATCATTTGTTGGCCGCAAAAATTCCTGAATGCCGCCTGGCATCAGCGCAGCGCAGCCCATGCAGAAGCGCAGCCAGCTGTAGTGTAGGGAAACACGTAACCAGACATTATGAACTCCAAGACGAAGGGGAAGACCTCTGGAGTAGAGTTATGAAGCTTGCAAGGTCAAATGGAAGAGCAAATGCGTGGACTCGGGCTTAAGGCGAATCTTGCCACACTGTGGTCTACATGTGGGTACCGGGTCTGCTGACTTTGGTTCAGGCGATGAGGGTTGGCGGATCCCACTTCCCAGCATGGGCTGCACAAACATTGGGAAAGTCTCGGCTCCTCCCTCCATCTGCCCTATCATGGGAGGATGGTCTTCTTGGTTGTTGTATGCAGGAAGTTTGAAAGAAACAGCCAACTGCATCAAACCCTCTGACAATGGAGCAAATGTTGAATCATCACGGCACCTGCTCGAAGTGATTCTGAAATGCACGCTGCGCACGGTTGAACCTGCCGAAGGGCTCGGAGTCATCCATCAGAACCTTGCCGCTAAGCATTTTCGCGTCTTAAGCTAGTCAGTTTGTAGAGGAGGGATTTGCGCTGCCAGAGCAATTAGGGCCATCCCAATTGGTTGCGTTGCGCCTTTACACTAAGTTTGCAGAATCCCCTGCTGAAATATCAGTGGGCAACCATTGCACCATCCGCAACACCGCCGATGACTTTGTAGACGTGCTGGTCCGGAATGTTGACCCCCGTCTCACGCCGGGCTGTGTTGAGATTGGCCCCCATCATGACGAGCATGAACCTCCTGAGCAAAACTGTGCCAAGAAGGCTACATTTCCAGCTGTGTCCATCAGGCTCAGTGCCGCATCATGCTGCCATGTCATGTCGCGCTTCGAAACGAGAAGCTGCTGAAACACAAGTTACCCGACTTTGCAGTTGCTGCAGAAAAGCTTCATGAAAGACACTGACAAGTACAACGGTCCAGCGCTAAGAGTGGCGAGTGTGCTGACTCGCGCCTGAACACAGGGGCCGAACACTCTGCTACATTGACTTTATCACCGTCGCTCGCGGAGGAGGAGCACGAGGAGGGCAGTCCCGAATAATGATACTGTTTCAAAGATTTGAGAAGCGCTTGTGCTTAACCTGTAGGGGTCCCAGCCAGACCTAGGAAACCCATATTCAGTTTTTGTTTATGGAAAGCATGGAAGAAATGTGACAGCGCAAACTCCTGAAAATATGAAAAGTCTGCAGGGCAAAGGCTTGCAGTTCCTCTGCCCGAAGCACTTGCATCCATTTTGGTTTGCAAATGTTGCCCGTACTTTCCTTGCTTTCCTTGCTTTCCGTGTTCTTCTAGATCTTCGCATGTTTCCCCATACTTCTGGAAGGATTTCGAAGTATGGACAACATGGAAAATCGTGGGAAAATATGAAACCCTGGCAAAAGCTGGGAAAAGGTGAAGACAAGCTTGAACATTAAAAGCCATGCCGAAGGCTGAAGCTGACCTAGAATCTAGCTCAGGAGTCTTCAAACGCCATAGTTGCAGCCATGTTTTTGAGTATGTTGGGCAAATTTGTGTAATCAAATTTCAGATTCTTGAGACCATGTTTAAAACATTTTTGCCACAAAGAATATTGGGCTGCCATGGCAGTCTGACCGATGATAACGCCACAAATGTAGGGGAAACCCAAGAATTGAGAAAGCCGAATGTCTCCTCTCACACATAGTAGATCCCTGATGAATAAACTATAGTAGGGATCCTGTAGAATAATAGCTTTTTGGGCTGTTTTTAACGGTTTGGAGCTATTATTTTACCTACTTATGGGGTCCAGGTAATATTAAGGGCCTTGAAGAGGGGGTTTATTAATCGGGGGTCTACATTACCCTGCCAGGGACCTGCACAGAAGGGCTCCGATTCATGGCCAAACAGCCGCCAATAATCCCAGGAAGTGACAAGAAAGTCAAGAAGCCCGGCAGCCATATGAACCTGGCAAATGCAAAGAGAATGAAAAGTACGATAGTATGTAGGGATTATATAGGGCATATATTGGGATAATGGAGAACAGAATGGAAGCTACTATATTGTATAGGGCGGATTATATAAGGGATATATTGGGATAATGGAAAAGGAAATGGAAACTACTATATTAATAAAGGGACATAGGCTGCCAACACTGTAGTAGGTTCATGCATAATGAGATCTTGAAGGAAAACTTTGTGTCACTCCGCAGTTGAGTGGTTTGAGGGACAGGCCAAGGAAAATGGGTGCAAGGTCCTCCTGAAATGGTGGACTATCAGGGAAGGGATTCTTTCTAACCATCTCCTCCACATCCTGATGGCTTTCAAGGGCAGGACTGTGTAGACCCTTCATAGTTCATAGCGCCAATCATGACTGAGGGATAGGGAGGCAGACCGATGGAGGCAAACAGAGTCAGGTGTGTGGCTTCAGGAACTCTGGAGGCATAGGATCTCATCATGTAGGGCCAGGCTGAAACCAAAAGGCTGTTGTGTCATGGTTCAAGATTGCAAGGTTCGACTGAATTCAAACAAGGTGGAATTTCTTGGGCCGTCTTGCCATCAAGGGGCAGGGGCATCTCTCCAAGGCCCATCTTCACAAAGTCTGATTGATTTCGGTCGGGCTTCGCCATGGCGCAGACAGATCTCAAGATATGTACAAAGGGATCACAGCAGCTGGTTCCGTAATGGCTGCTTTCAGCAATCAGCAACTGCGTCCCGCGAACATACTACTGCAGGCAGCTGCTCCGGGGTGGTGCCAGTCCAAACTGCAAGGGTGGAAGCAAATACCAGCCGCCCTGCTACGCTAGGGGCATCAGATAAAACGGCAAGCAATTCCCTCATGCAGTGCTCTTCCGACTGAACAGGGCATGGGAGATTGACGATGCGCGCTCTTTTCAAGCTGCTCTCAGCATGTCTGCTTTAGTGGCTGCACTACTGCAGCCACACATCCTCCGTCTTGGTCCATGGCCTCAGAGAGGCCGCCTCAGTAGAAGTCTGCGAGACTTGCTGCCAAAGGGGCTAACTGGCTAATTGTGGGCAGGAGACAATCCATGGACTTGATCCATCGGCTTGAAACACGCGCTGAGCAGGCAGATTGTCCAGGAGATACATGTAAATTTCCAGGAATGGGGGTGGCGCTTGAAACGGCGCTTGTTCATGCTGCCTGCTCTGCACCAGCCGTACCTGCCACTCATGAAGGAGCTTCCTCAATAGAAAAAACGATTGAAATCCCGGGCACTCAGAGAACAGCGCTGCCACCTGATGCTTCAACAAAGAGAAGCTTTTGTCACAAACGTGATTCCTGAATGCAGATAGATGTGGTAGTCTGCAAGGAAGCACAGCAGGCTTGAAGCCCATAGCCGTTCGCGTCCCATGCGTGCATTATCAACATGTCAGTCACCCCCGTCAGCCGCATTTCAGTGGAAACCTGACGTCAACAGAAGCAAGAAACTCGACTACACGGAGCATCGCTCTGACCAAGCCGTATCTAGTTGTTGTGGCACGGCTTGAAGATTGACCTTGGATTACTTGAAATGCAGAGCTCCCATAGGACCCTGCCAGGCAGGTTCGAGATAGACCCCGTTAAACCTGAAGGCTAGCGGCCCCAAGCATTGACACCGGGGTTGCTCAACAGGGAATAAGAGCACGATATGGCATTTCCAGATGACATGGTCGGAGTTTTCACCCTGATGATTATGTTCCCTTGTTACTTGGCCCTGGGGGAGCACCTATGCAAGCAGGACGCCGAACAACAGCAGGAGAGAATGTATATATATATGAGCCCGATACCTTTTGGTATTATTTAACCACGTTTGTCTCTT